TAGAAATATTTTCTAACCTCCCAGAAATATATTTTAGTTACCCCTTATTTTACATCAGGGGTAACCAAAAACCCCCAAAAAGAGTCGCGTCAAGGGGATTCATTATACATCATGTCAAAAGAAAACGGCTCAGTTTTTGGGAAAAATTCGAACTGAATAATTCATTAAAACAAAAAGTTCAACATCACGAGAGATACAGAAACCAATTTTGTATCACTTTTCTTGTCATAGGTTATTGTGGCACATAATCCACACTATGGATGAACCTGACGCATAACTTAGAAACCTTTATAGGGTAAACTGAGAACGGACTCATGTGTAAGGTCTTAAAGACGTTTTATTGAAGTCTTCGTTAACGTTTTACAGTGGATCGTGAACCCCTGCTCGTAACTCTAGGTGACTTCCCTCAAAAAGCCACTAACACATTCAAGTTTTTCTTACTGTAGAAGCCATGTTGATGATCCCGTTTTAACAAAGATATAAAAGAATACCACATACTAAAAATGAACTAGAATTCTCGTTGTGAGTTAAAAAATCTAGAAATGGGCTACAAAATTAGACTTAAAAACTCTACTAAATATCTAAGTTAGTGGTATTCTAAGACCTTTTTTCTTTTTTCCTTTTTTTTATTTTCAAGTTAATGTTAATAATAATGTCGAATTATGTAAAGAAGCAGGCTTCAGCCATGACAGAGTTCACTAATGCTCGCAAACGAGTTATAAAAACTCTGAGACATGACCTATTTAAATAATTTTCATTCTACAAAATCTCTAACAAACGAATTCTGACCTAGTCTATTTTCCTCTAACAATTCTAAACGTAGTTTGTATGCAAAGCACTCACACAAGCTTGTTGTGGAAGGGAACTATTCAAACTGTTGTTGTACCACTTAATATCCTGTATCTGACTTGTCACTCGTTACCACAACATCTTTCTAATTTCTTTTTAAGGAATTTGCGTTCATAAAGAACTTAGTAACATAGCGAAAATAGACGTCACTCTACCTTTTAGCTATCATTATGCTCTCATACGAGTTATAAAAATTCTAGAAATGAGCTACTTAGGTCATTCATTAAGTTGTTAAATCTCTAATGCATGACGTCTTATCCAGTAATTGTTCTTCTTTTTTTGTGTGACATTTTTACCTTTTTTTTTTCAACTAGAGATACTAACAAAATTAAACAACTCAACACGTACTCTGAATACTCGCTGGACGAGTTGTAGTAATGTTCAAACTATTCAGATTGTTGTTGTACTGCCTAACGTCTACTTACTTCGGAAATCTTAACCGCAAGTCAAAGTTCTTTGATATAATATGCAACCCAAAATTAACGTCACTTATGACTTTAATGCTCGCGGATGAGTTCTTAAATGTTAAGAAATGGACTATTTAGATTACTAGCGTACCCTCAAATATCTAATAACTGGACTTCTTCCACCCGTGCATTTTTCTAAGTTCTTCTTATCAAATTTGAGGTGATTTTTCGCGTTTAAACAAAACCTAGATATCAGTTATCTAAATAGTTGTCATACAGATTAATCTCTAGTAATTCTTATTACACCCCGTTAGTTTTCTGTTATAATCACATTATTAACCCTCTTTGCTGTTTTCCTCATTAGGAACTCTAAAAGAAAGTTCTTCAGGGATATCAAATCCCCTCTAAACTAGGAGTAAACTCCGAATAAACTTAACATTTTCCATGGAAATGAGCTTAAACATTACTTTTAAAACCAGTGAGGTGTTCCTTATCAAAACAGTTACACAGATATATTATTATTATTATTATAATTAATATATCGTAATTAATAATGGAAAGATCAGCATGCAGGATAGAATATCTGATCACATTAGGAGCGTAGCCAGCTTTTCGACTTGTCGTTGGCCTAAACCCTAAGAAAGTTCAGTTTTTGTTTCAAAATTTGCACGAGTGATGTGATAAAAGTTAAGAGGTACAGGACTCTAGGCTGGTTACACCCCTGATATTATTGTGTTCCGTCTTGAGCTATCCGACTTAACTGCGGTGTAGCAATCATGGTCTTTAGAAATACGCTAAAACTAACAGACTCAAAGTGTTTGGTAAATTTATATGTTACAAAAAGAAACAAACAAGCAAACCAAAAACGGTCAAAACAAAACAAAAGAAAGATGTACTGATAGATAGAGCGCTAGGTGTACAATGATTAGTTCAAACAACAAAGTTCCTAGGTATTGTTAACATTAAATCTAAGAAACAGAAATTAAAGACTAAGATGTTACCATAGACAGCATGAATTGATTACTAGAATAATTTTTCTCCTTTTCCTGGTACTTTTTTAGTTTTTCTCTAGCCCTCGCGGTCGCTATACTAATGGCAATGTTTTTGGCTCTTGTAAACTGTCAGAGGCAAAGGAAAAAAGTGCGCTCATCAATGAATGTAAAAGTTACTCATCGATTAGTTGCTTGTTTGATCTACTGATCCGACAGTCATTCAGTCAAGCATTGAATGTTTACATGTCTGTGTTGAAGTGTTTTGCAGCCATAATACAACTTAGTTAGTTATAACCATGCCAACTGGCTATGTGGAGAGTCCGGCAGACAGTCAGGCAGAGTTTCACAGAAAGTCAGGTGATCAGACTGTCAATCAGGAAGCTGGTCAGTGCATTAAGGACAGAAGGCACATATGAATATACAAGCATATGCAAAGAGAGCACTCGCCAGTGCAGCGTATTAGCCACCCAGAAGTTTTTTTTTTAAATTATACTATTTCAAATCATACATCACAAAAGCATAGAAAAAATTGATTAGTTTGAAAATGTTTTGGTACCCTTAGTGCCAACAATTAATGGGCTGCCTGAAAAAATTGGCAAGTGACTTTGAAAAAAGACAAGCAGCACATTACAGCTATAATAAATCAGACTTCCTTCTTCATCTCCAATAACTTCAAACACTACAGTTGCAGTGAAATCTCTAATTTGAAACTGGTTTGAGTTAGCCAAGGAGTTAAAAAAGTTATGACAGAGTTACGCTTTGTGAATGGCATCAAAAAAGTCACTTTTGATTCAGAATATAGATCGGGTTCAAGAAATTGATAGTTGAAGTAATCACGAGTCAACTATACATGGATGTACACGGTAAAGCATCAGATTTTCACCCTACATCTCAAATATTACACTTTTTCTATAAGATTGGAAAGATACATGTAACAAAAAAAAACATTTTCTTTAAGGAGATTTGTTTTCCACATCCCTTTAGTCAGCGGTATTCAGAATCAAAGCAGACGTAGCAAGCATTTACCTTGGTTCGAAAACAAAGAACTAAAGCCTGGTATCAAACACCTCTTCTTCCCCTGGATGGAATACAAAAAGAGATTGAAATACAATGCGCTCATTTTCTTTTAAGTGATACAATAATAATTTTCACAAACACAGAAAAGAGAGCTGCCACTTATCAAAGCTCAATAAACTTGTGCATGTCTGTGTTGAAGTGTTTTGAAAACTGAGGTACACAGCAGTCACTATTTCCATTCAATGAGTTGTGGTAAGTGGCGGCTATGTTTTCTGTATCTACTGTATCACTTAAAAAAAAACAAACAAACAAACATGTAAAACGGTTCAATAGATTTATAAATGTTGGATTTTAGCGTTGTATAAAAAGTTATGGCTCTTCGTTACCAGGAGGTATAATAATACTCAAGTGGTGTCTTTTTTTTTTCTCAATGTAGTCACCTCCCGATGTGAATCACGACCTTTCGACAGAGCACTTCAAGTGACCTTCTGTCAATAGAATGGAATGATTATGCGTCACCTTACAAAGCATGTGTGGATCAATCTGAGTTTATTTCTTCTGATTTATAAAAAAATGTTACCTTCCTCTGCGACATCCATGTCAGGTTCATGCGTCGTCTTTTCTTCTTCAGCTTTTTTGGCTTCTTTAGAAAATGATTTATTTGATACAAAGTAAGTTAGTATACAGTCATTAAATTTTGTCTTTGTACTTAGAGTTAAAATCATTAATGTTTCACCAATTTCCACACTGGAATTGTCCCAGTGACTACCAAAGTAAAAGAGATCTTTTAATTACTCATTAAATACCTTCATCTCTATAGTGACCGATCAAAAACCATTATTTCCTTTACCTTTGTTACTGAGCACTGAAATCTCTTCAATCTCCACCTGCTCCTCAGATTTACCAGCTGTGTGAAATTAGATTTTTTATTGAAAGTTACGTTAGTTACATTTATAACGCAACTAAGTCTTAAGTCTTTGAAGACAACAAACTTTCCAATAAGACTTTCTAAAGTTAATCGACCCATTAGGTTTAGTAACTGACGAAGGGTTTTGTACCTTACCGGAAATAGAGACCGACAAGCTACTCTCGTCAATCTTTTCATATGACAGACTTAGAATCTGTGATTTGGTTGGTGATTAAGCGTTAACATGTTAACCCCAATCTCACTGGTGTGACATACAAAACCATGCAATCAAGTGTACCAAGTGCGCCAGCTTGGTTGCACCAGCCACCATTCGCTGTTTTTTTTTAGAGTTACGAAATTTCCAAAAAAATTGAATGAAAATTGAATGAAAATTGAAAAGGTGTTTACCTTCCACAGTCTTTGCAGTGGCTGTTCTGATGTCGAAATCCCCCTGATAATCTGTTTTAAAGAACAAGTAGAGTAAAACGTTTCATAATGCTTATGGTTCATGTTTTATTCTGCAATAAATTTCTCTTTTTTTATTTTAGGTACGTCAGAATTTCAGATATATTCAATTATTTATTGATTGATAAAATATCACTGAGTTACAAAGCTCAAATTTAAATCTACAAGTTAATTTGATTGCATGAAAATGGTTGCTGGAATGATACCTCTGCAAAATGCAGTTGTTACAACACATTACCTATCTTCATTTTGGCGATTCTTATGACCGGTAGGTAAAGTGCAATTTGCAGTTGAAGTCACATTGTGCAATTGTAATTTTTGCAATACTACTCACGTAAATAAAGCGCTTGTCTGTACCTCCTTTTATATTCCGTTCATAAATATTTTTTTACCTGAGGAAGATGGATTCGCTTCCCCTCTACAGGCTTGTTCAATTACTGTCAACAGAGCAAATTGTTATCTTTAAGTTATTCTTCATACAATATAATTGAAAACTGGAAACAATGAATGATCATTGTCAACATATACGTATCATTTATTTACTACAACCGTGTCATATGGAGGACGATGGTATCTTCCTTCCATAATATTCCGTAACAGATTATTATTGTAAAGGAATGGGGATCTCATGAGTGGAGGTCTTAAAAGTACATAAGGCAATTTATCACCAGAACATCGGGAGGTAACTTATCAACCAAAAGTAAAATAACCTAATTTCATCCCATTATTGTCACATGGGAAACCATTCCTCAATCTATCCTTTCTCAAAATGCTCCAACAGAAATTATCAGAGCAGAAAAGGAATGCTGTAGTTTCTATAGGTATTTTAATTTGAGAGAGCTAATATTTGCTAGGTTAATTAATTAGAATATACATGCCCGCCAAGAGAGTTGGATTGCAAAGTCAATTACAGCTTTATCGTTAGCATCAAAACTCCTATATTTATTAAATGACCTGGCTGCGGTGCAGGCAATTCAGGGGCTTCCACTTCTGGGATTTCGTTGTGTTCCAATACCTGCATTTCAATGTGCTCTCCTACAGGGAAGAAAATGAAAAAAAGGAATTAAGTATAGAAAAGAGGCGTGGAGAAGTTATTTCGTATGTGACTATACTAAGAAGCACTCTATTTTTACCCTCTTTGACGTTAGCATGTTCATCTCCATTTCCAGTCTGTCCCTGTTGATCATTTTCTGCTTCTTTTATATGAAAGAGTAACATCAACAAAAAATTATTGGCCATTGTCAGGTTTATCCAAAGAAAAAAAAAAGTCCTACATTCGGAATGTATCTTTACCTTATAATTTAAGACAGCTGTATAGCCATTTATTTTTTGAGAATTGTTTGCAGCGGAGTGAGTTTTGGCCAGCATCTTATTTGAAAAATTTTGTCCCAAATGGCAACCATTTGTCTCAATGTTCCTAATACATGGCTGTAGAGATACAAACCTTCAAAAATCGAGCTGAAAGCATGATTTCTAATCGCGTTTTTGCTTTCGTTGAACTCTATGATTTAAATGATTTAATACATTGATCCTCTCTCTGTTTAGAATCACTCTTGTTTTCTCTTCTACGTCTGCCACAACTTTACATATTGTCAGTTGTACCTCTTTGGTTTCAATAATTTGCTCAGTTTCTTATTCGAAAAAATTTAAAAAAATACATCAGTTTTCTACGATTTCATACCAGTTCCACCCTCTTCCCTCTTGAAAGCCTTGAGAGTAAAAATGACATAAGTAACTTAGAGAAAACTGGGTTGCTAATACTCAATGTGATAAAAGCTTGTTCATTTCAAGGTTTGGAATATAATTGTTGTTATCATGGTATTTTTGAATGGATCTTAAAACTGTACCTTCTTGATTTTGTCCTCTGCTAAAAATAGATCGAACATTGGACCACAGCTTCCTCAGTTTTGGTTTCAACACAGCCTGCACCTAGACATTCAAAATATATTGGACGGTTTACGTAAAGACTTTCAAGTAACGTATTAAGAAGTCACGTTGGTCTTTATGGTTAAAGTCAACGGTGGAGAAGCTGACAAAATCCGTCCGGTCATTTACGTTTTTCACACTTGTTTTGTATGTCAATCGTTACAATTACAAATTAAGTTGCCAGCCCGCTCTGACACGAGAGCAAATTTGAACATAACGGTAGGTGCTATTCCAAAGTAACAACAAAAAAACACATGTTACCTGTGGGGTAGAAAGTGTATACAGCAATGGGTTGATAGCTGAATTGATCGGCAGAGCGAACACTGCAATCCATACTGCCAGATCACCAGGGGGGTCAAATGTTTTCTCGACGTGGGACCGAATGCCGATAGCAATGATTGGCATCCAACACAAGAAATCGGTCAGAATAATGAAGAAGACTCTTTTGGCAAGTGCTCTTTCTCTTTTAGCCTGTGCACTTTGTGCTCTTGCTCGTGTTTCACGAACAGTTCCATATGCACCAAGCCGTCTGCTTGACGACCATGATTTCCACAATATGGCAATATAAGCAACCGTGATGAAGATGAATAGGGAAAAATTCAAAACGATAAAGATGGAAGTGGAGTATTCCCAGCCTTCTTGTAATTCAGGGGAAAGCTGCAGGGGCAGGCACACTACATTATTACCGTAATACCTCTCACTGAAATAGTGTATTCCAGACAAGGGAAGGAATGCCATGACGCCTCCCACCAGCCAGATAACTACACACATTATACGGGTCTGCCTTGGGGTAATTTTTGCAAAGGTGTAAGGAAACACGATGTTTTTGAGTCTGTCCCATGCGATCAGAGAAATCATCATCACTGACACTTCACTTGAAAAGACAGACATGGCACCGTTGAAATGGCAAAACCAACCGGTTCGCCACTCATAGTCATGCAGGTAGTATTCCCCTGACCATTGCAGGTCTTTTATGCCTATAATGATAAGGTATATACCCATGATGCCGTCAGATACACCCAGATTCACCAACATGATAGACTGGACCACATTGTTATCAGTGTAGAAATACTGCCACCCAACTACGAATAAAGACCCTAGTAACGAGAGAAGACCGACAATCCAAAGAGTTCTCCTTGGAGCATGGTGGCGGAACATGGAGTGGCAGCTTGCGAAGTTGTCATTGAAGGAGTATTCGCAATCAGCATCCTGCCTGAAAAGATCGAGATGGCAGCACATCAGGTTGGTGTCCAAGGTTCTGGGATTCGAAAAAAAAAGAAAAAAAAGAAGAAATAACACTTTATAATTGCATCGTTGAAATCCATCAATAATCATTAATTGATTAATAACATAGACTATTATTAAAATGATCTTTTGAAGGGGGAGTGAAGGAAAGGATCGTTATGGAATCTTACACTCTAATGATGTGCGTCAAATGCTTGAAAAAGCCTTTAGGAAGTTCAGCCATCAGGTTGTAATGCATGAACCTGTAATTTCAAGTAATCATGATGTGAATATTAGGTTGGTTTATATAATAAATAACCTAAAAAAATGAATTTCAATAATAAGATTCATTGAGCTAATGTTAATGTTCAAATAGACTGTCCAAAAAGACAAAATCAAGAATCCTAGCTGAGGATCTTCAGTACGGACCCTAGCTTGAGATTTTCTCAAAGATTTTTTCCAAAATTTATCATTTAGCCTAAGATAAGTCTCGTCTTGCTTTTTTGGAAATTTTTGATGGCTAATGATTTTATGGACTTGGCAGCCCATTCGGTTGAGTTCGTTCGCTGTATAAAAGTCTCTTTCCGGACTCATCCAGTGAAAAATTGCTTTGGTATATTTGTTATTTTCCAAAATCACCATGCACGGGTCTTTTCTTTGACAAAACAAAATCACAAGAATACTCGCCTACGTGTTATCCGATTTCAATATATGCAACAAAGTTTTGTTGCCTAGATGAACATCTGTCATTTGCAGTGAACTTACAAAAATCGCAATTCGTGGGCGTAGTTGAAAGTCGTGCTAGTAACGTTTTGTATCCTATTGCCGAAGATATTGCTAAAAGGAAGAACGTAATAATTTACAATTAACACCTAAACGGGGCTTGCAGTTGTCATATTCCTCATCCTAATAAATTCACCTGGAATTCTAGGTAAGACTACATAGATCTTCATGATGTTTGTTTCCGTTTTTTATAATATCCAACTTGACGCACCAAAAGAATGTTATATAAAAGCACATTTTTAGTGCAATATATATATATATATGTATAAAACATTGCTTTGTTAAGCCAGATGACTTGCACCACGTCTGTCCTACATCATGTTAAATTTGTTAACTGAAATCTCAGATTTTGAACGCTGATATCATATTCATTCTATCACTTCAAATATTCTTGAAGTTTTGTATGTGGTTAACTGTACTCACAGAGATCTGAGCTTTTTAACACCCTTGAAAATTTTATCAGGCAGAGCCTCGATTTTGTTCTCCGACAGATATCTTAAAAAGGTGAAACGGATAATGAAATAAATATTAAAATGCAGTAACATAATATGATTGGGTAAGGCAAATTTTATTTGAGAAATAACGGAGTTAACAGTAAAATAATATAACTGTATACGGTTTGAGATTCAGATCATTATGGAAAACGGTTTAAACTCTAAATGCACTTACAAATCTAATAGCTCCACCAAGCCTTGGAACTGATCTTCATGAAGCTTCTCAATTTTGTTGTACTCCACTTTCCTGAAGAAAGCATCATGTGCAGTTTAGACTGAAATGTGCTCATGTGGTAGTGATATCTTTAGCCCTACTTTTTTTTTTAAGCAACGTTTGTGGTTAAGGCAGGGAATGGCAACGTTTTCCAGTAAAATAGCTCCCAATGTCTACATCTTAATCTTCAAAGAACACAGACATATCTATAATGATCTCAAGATTAAGCGCGAAAACTCTCAAGTTCACTCTCTGTTACAAATTACAAAATTAGTGCTAAGGTAGTTTGATCTGGCAATACAACAAATTCTTAGATATTGTTTACTCGGATAAAAAGGAAACAAAAAAAAACCTTTGCATTCCAGAAGTAAATTACAATGTAAGTTGTCATTCACTAAGAAGCTGTTATAGTCACCAAGTGCTGATATTTTCAAGAAAATCCTTTGAAACAATTTTTAATATTTTGGGCCGATATCAATCTTACTTACAGAAATTTTACCGCTCTAATGTTTCTGAAAGCATACGCTGGCAGATTTTCAAGTTCATTGTTTGATAAATCCCTGAAAACAATTATTACACAGTTACAAAGATTTTGCTTATGTTAGAGCTACCAACTGAAATCTGAGAATTGTTAAGGTTGCTATTTAAACAGAAGCTATTAAATTCTTACATCTTAAAGTAACTTAACATTACTAACCAAAGCACAACAAATAGATAAGATAGCATCGTCTAATTCAATTAAGATTTGCAAATACGAGCAGGAAAACTTCATGGTGTTTCAGCTATGACGGCTGTGCTTTTGGAAAGAATATTTTAAAAATGATCACTTGATTTTATCCAGTTATCTCCTTGGTTAAATAATTAGCTCACTTACAGATATGTCAGCTTGGAAAGGCTGTTGAAAAGTCTGTCTGGTAGACTCTTCAACTTGTTATTTGACAGATAGCTGATAGAAATGACGAGACAAGATAATAAATTTTCATTAAGTCTGCGATCTGAAATTTATAAGCAAAAATACATTAAGATTCTGGTCATCAGAAACAACCAAAGAACAAAGAGCAGTTCGCAGTCGTACACATGCAATTTTTTGTCTTATAGTACAGAGAACATTCAAGAGTCACTTCATTCATGTAGTTTGGTCAATATTTATAACAAAAAGCAATTGAAGGCCGCTGAAAACTTGAAATCTGCGTGCACACTGAACTCTTTTCCCCAACAAAGGCAATGGCTGCCTCTCGTGGATCAATAATGAAATCTTTAAGCTCGTGATCTAAGAAAATATGCCAACATGGTTCAAAACGGAGAAAGATAACCCATGAAAACAACTCTGATATTCATAACATGCACGAATTTCATTGTTGTATGTATGATCGTTGTCACTGAAATGTCAATTCAGCAACAAACACAAAATCTCAGATGGTTCAATTTTAAAATGTGTTGTAAGTGCAGACGGAAATATTTTAAAATTTGCAACTGGAAAACATTTTATTTCTATTTTCTTTCTATATGCTCTTATTAGGGAAAGGGAAGAAAAGTTTGATACTGACAGAATCTGTGTTAAAATACTCTAGCAGTGATTTAATAAAAGAGAGGTAAATTTTACTAAGTGTTGGAACACTTTATGTAGTTATTGAGTTAAAACAAGGAGAAAGCTTTGTATGAAATAACTTACAGTTCTTTCAAGTTTTTTAGATCTTGGAATAAATTAGGGGGCAATTCAGTGAAGTTGTTGTCTTGCAACCATCTGTGTTGAAATTAAAAAATATTTATATGTGACCTGTATGTAAAAAAATATGTTTAGTTTTATTAAAACAGTTATTTACTGACTTGTCTTTTGATCACTGAGGGGAAGGGAAGAAAAGAGAAAGGAAAAACGTTAATTGGAAAAACAAGTATAAACAAGGCAGTAAGAGAGGGGAATGCTGCTGCGTTACAAAAACAGTTTTCCTTCCACAACAGTAAATTAACTTACAGTTCCTTTAGCATTGTCAAGTTTTTGAAGGCACTTCCACTCAACCCTTTCATGTCGTTGTCATTCAGGCGTCTGCGTTATTTACCATATAAAACTGACAATTAGTTTAAAGATCCACCAGAAGTTTATCTGCTTAGATAGGGGTACTACTGAAACCTTTCAGGGCTGTTTTCGAAGATAGTTACGGTTCCTATGACTTGTGAGCAAAAGTCGGCATCTGTGTCATTGAGCAAAGAGTTGTTTGTGCTAACTTCACCGTTTACCAATTTTACAACATAAGATTCTAATTTAATATGACATAGATATGGAAATTTGTTAACGATGGAAATTGGAATGATCTTTTTATTTAATGAAGGCACTTCTTGATGCCTGTTATACAGAGATTGAGATCTCATAAACGGTCAGTCCTGGACAAAGATGCAGAATGCAACAGTCGATGTATGATCTTCATGATGCTTGATATATTAAGTGGCGATCTCCGTAAGAGCAGTCCAGGGCATTTTGCATTGGAAAAAAAGTTTTCCCTCAAACTTTTCCCAATAAACTATCTTTGGTAGCAAGTAAATAAAACCACATTATTTTCTGGAAATACGTTAAAATAAAACTTTTAGAGCTCTCAAAGGTCAAAGCTGCAAAAGGCCTTTTTTTGACCTCTTTCGACATCGAAAATTTCAAAAGTTGAATAGCCTGGTCTTCGTATCACAAGGCATGTAGAAAAAAATCCTTTGTATTTTTAAACTGTGTGATATGTCTGGTATTTAAAAAGCATTTCAATTTTGATATTCGTTTTTTCAGAAGTTCGTCATAATTTATTTAAAAACACTCGTTAGACAGCTTTCTGAAATTGGTCAAAAGTACTCATTCTTTCTCGGTTGATATTGCTTAAATCCAGACCTGACCATTGAAAACTCTGCTTGATTTCTTCTTATAAGATGTTTGGCTGCAGAAAAATATTAAAAAATCTTGCATTTATTAATTTTCTTCGCCGTGGTGACTTCAAACTTTTAGCGATTTTGCTAGAGTGACAGCCGATTATGCATTGAGCAAACTCCGACCGTTTTATAGAAGTAGCTTAATAAATCTTAGATTTTAACCATTTTAAGTTGAAAAGATAGTATGAAAGAGCTTTCAGACTACGCCGATTGATACTCTTAAAATTTTAAAAGGCCAGAATTTGACAAATTTTACTATCTCGTGACGAAAGACGTCAACAACAATGCATCGAATATCATAATTTGATTAACGCTCGGTCAACATTTTAATGACAAACTCTTTTAGAAAAACTTGGCTTCTGCTATTTCATATTTGAGTTCTGACAGCTTACGCTATTCAAACCTGTATGAACATTTCAGAACCAAACTACAGGATTCTATTTAGTGTAACCGGCGATAACAGCACACACTGAAATACAACGTGACCAGTGACTCCGTCACGAAATTCCATCGTATAATTGTCCTGAATACCTCTCACGTCTAAATAGAGCAGCGATTGCTCGGATTTCTAGCTGACAGGAAAAAATGATATTTGGTGGTCACATCTGTCTGCATAACAGTCTCTGTTCATAACTTTCGAGAGTTGTTGTGAAAAAGGATATCGCAGTCGCAGTGGACGTCATAATTAGACTGCATAACAACTCCACTCCGAAATCATTTCCTCTATTTTTGCAAGAAGTGCTGCCTTTGTATCTCGCATTTTGAATGCGAGCTCAAAATGTTTGCACATTTCTCTTAGTATCTTGACTTTGAGGTTAGGAAACCTTCACTCTCTTTCCAACGAGCACACATCATAGACATCAAACATGATTGGATGTTTCAGTCCTATCTCATCCATTACTGTTTTCCAGGCCTCTCTCAAACACTCTTCGTCTACATCAGACTCGGGTGCCTCTATTAAGTCGTCGTCTTCGTCGTCTGCGTCTGTGGTATCATCCGATTCTTGTTATATTTTAGATCGCTGTTTAAGGCACAATCTCGAGAAGAAACCCTGAATCTGTATGTTGGATAACCACTCTGTTTCATCGAACATTCTCTCTCCATCTACAGTGCAAGCAGTGCGCATGTCCTTTGCTACTTGCTCTGGGTCTTGTCTTCTGCCAGTGTCTTGTACAATATTAAATTTCTGTGTCAAGTACTGCCTGACGTTTTGCGGAAGTCGTACACGTGCACCTCTCTTATGAAGAGCCCATCCCATGGGAAGCTGTGAAGCACTTTTCAAAGGTTCTGTGGCCACTGCAACCAGTTCAGTCGAACTTTCACCCCCCTATGACAATGACTTAAAGCGATGAACCCACTCCCTTTTCACTTTTTCATAAAGACTTTCAGTCATGCTCGCAGGCACAGGACTTACTTGATGAACTAGCAAGTTCATATGGAGGTCAAGGTCGGCCTAGGTCTTAAAATCTTCATTGCAACCAGCTGCAGTCTCAGGGAATTGATAGGAACTATCAATCAGTAGTGGGGGGGAAGAATGGAGTCTCCTCCACGAGATCCGTCTTTTTCTGTGGACAAATTGCAATTTTAATTCCATTGAATAAACTTTCCAGGCCCAACATTGAACGCTTTCCAAACGCGCAGGCCCTCTTGTGTAAACTCAAAGTTGCTGAAATTGGCAATCTTGTTAATCTCTAGGGTTCAGTTCTGTTCCTGGACTATGCACACTGACGCCGTCGTTCCCTGACCGGTCTCTCTTTCAATGCGGTATGGATGTCTTTGTGTCTTTGGCAGAAACAACATCATGGCTTTCGTTGCAGTATCTCCTGATTGACGTTTTTAACGGACACAGAATCCTGTCACACGTATCCCTTCCAGCTTGCGGCTAAGAATGATCGTACCCCACGAGTTCGATTCCCTGGTGATGTCTGAGCTCTCGCGGGGATGACACCAGCTTACTGTTATGACAGCAACCTGGTTTATCTTATCTTAGAAAGCTTTTTTTATTCCTGGACTTTGTAAATTCATGGTGACAAGAGATTTTCAAGGACTGACAGCACTGAAAACCAGTCTTGTTTACGGTTGTTAAGAAAGTGTACATAGCTGGTCACTTCCAGGCTTTTCTCCTGTCTTACAACAACGTTAACACTACTCACATGGCAACTGATTCCCCTATGAGCAAACCATTCTGCTTGCTTTTACTGGAACTTGATCGCTATGAACTTCATTGCCCAGTCAACTACTATAAATGCTTCATCTCCCTTCAAAGAATCAAGAATTTGCCGCTTGCACTGATCCTGTTTCTCTGCTCTCAGAACATGCTTTGACTGTGAAAGTCAGTATCACCAGCATTGCTCGGTGCAAAGACCCTACAGTGATTGGCACATTTCCTATCGTCCTCTTTGCATTGATTACGGTATGTAGTCTTGAAATACAACTTGCTCTCCTGACGCCTCATCCGAAGTTCTTTACACTAATCCTTTTACTGCTCCCACGCGTTCCAGTTCGTCTATAACTTGGAGAAAATTCTTAAAACCATCCGCTCCCTCAGCTGCGGTATCGTCTAGACGTCGCAATGATTTCCTCTGATTGGCCTCTTGAACTTCTAGTACTCACCACATCGTGGATTTACTTTTCGGTTCAAATCCATTCTCTTTGCAATGGTCCATGCACTGATTAATGATGGTGTACTTGGCCACTGTGCGCAACTTGTTAGGCATGACAAACTCTTCAACACTCTCAAGTTTGATGGTGTGAGTGCCGTAGGCTACGTCTTGAAAGTAATATGGCCTCAAAGTGAACTCTAAGAAGTGGTCTAGCTGACGCTGTTGTATACGGATTCTGTGACGCGGAATTTTTTCAGTAGGCACCTCACTCTTCGCCTGTGCTCTTGCCTTCTTTATCTGTCTGTCGGAGAGATTTTCAAACGGCTGATGTATGCGTTTAAGCTCGTTGGCTGAGAATCTGTCAGCATAAATACTCAGTATTTGAGTCCTAAGTGAATTTGTGGGAGCATTCTGATAGGCGACCATAAGGGTTTGAAGTCCAACATCAATAGCTGTCTTGCACTTCTTTCCATGGTCTACGACCGCTTGGAATAACGCTTTACCATCTCTTAGAGCAATGACATCGCACACCAGCTGGCACGCTTCCCCAGCTTTTTGAACAAACTCAGATTTTTTAAGGAAGGAGCATTTTTCCCAAAAATCTACTTGGGATTCCAAATGTGTAATCCTGGGCTTTTGTGCAGCATCGGCGAGGCTATCAATGCATGGACGATGTTACTACTGCTTATTTAGAAAGGAGAAGCAATTCAGGATCATTACATAAGAACTCTCCAAAGTTATGAACAGAGACTGTTATGCAGACAGGTGTGACCACCAAATATAATTTGTTCCTGTCAGCTAGAAATCCGAGCAATCGCTGCTTTATTTAGACGTGAGGTGTTCAGGACAATTATACGACGGAATTACTTGACAGAGTCATTGGTCACGGTGTATTTCTGTGTGTGCTGTCATCGCCGGTTACACTAAATAGAATCCTGTAGTTTGGCTCTGAAATGTTCATACAGGTTTGAATAGCGTAAGCTGTCAGAACTCAAATATGAAATGGCAGAAGCCAAATTTTTTGAAAAGAGTTTGCCATTAAAATGTTGACCGAGCGCTAATCAAATTATGATATTCGCTGCATTGTTGTTGATATCTTTCGTCACGAGATAGGAAAATTTGTCAAATTTTGGACTTTGAAATGTTTAGAGTATCAATCGGTGTGGTCCAAAAGCTCTTTCCTACTATCTTTTCAACTTAAAATGGCTAAAATATAAGATTTATTGAGCTACTTATATAAAACGGTCAGAGTTTGCCCAGTGAATTAATTTGCATAATTGGCTGTCACGCTAGCAAAATCGCTAAAAGTATAAGTGCAAGATGTTTTTATATTTTTATACAGCCAAACATCTTATTAGAAGAAATCAAGCGGAGTTTTCAATGATCTGGTCTGGACTTGAGCAATATCAACCAAGAAAGAAAGAGTACTTTTGACCAATTTCAGAAAGCTGTCTAACGAGTGTTCTTAAATAAATCATGACGAACCCCTGAATAAACGAATAGCAAAATTAAAATGCTTTTTATACACCTTACATATCACACAGATTGAAAATATAAAAGATTTTTTGCTGCATGCGGTGAGATACGAGGACCAGGGTATTCAACTTTTGTCACAAGAGGACAAAAAAGTACTTTAAGCAGCTTTGACTCTAAGAGCTCTAAGAGCTCTAAAAGTTTTATTTTAACGTATTTCCAGAAACTGGTGTTGTTTTATTTACGTGCTACCAAAGATAGATTATTGGACAAAGCTTAAATTTACGGGAAAACTTTTTTCCGATGCGAAATGCCCTGGACCGCTCTCACGGAGATCGCTACTTGATTCTTGATTTACGAAGCGAAACGAATAATCTGATAAATAAATCTAAAGCAACGACTACAACAAAAAGCAATCGGAGGCCTTTAGAACTGTTGTGCAGCTGGTCTGAGATTAGAGTTCTCAGTCTGCAGGTGCGAAAGTTGACTAGTAGTGTTAATTATAGGTGAATTTATTTTATTAAACAGATACATATTATGAATGAAATATTTGCAAATGTTGTTAATCTTATTAACGCTTACATTGCATCACTAAAAATCTAAGAGCGCGGATCACTTTGAAAAAAAATGAGGTTACTTACAGAAACCTTAGCTGTGTGTTCTTGTCAAAGATTCCTGGAGGTAGGTGGTGCAATTGCATTTCAGACAAGTACCTATGAATTCGATGAAAATTTAGCACAGAGAAACTTTAGCACACTAAATAAAGGACAGAGCTGGGATGCATATAAAGTAATAAAACAGATGACTAGTGGAATAAACTCAGTTTTGAAATGCAGTCTGAGGATTGTGTAGACAACTCAGAACGATTATTATTGAGATTTTACTATGAAATCAAAGTGGCGCAGCTATATACATGTCTTTTAATATTCTCACTTGTCAAGACGAGCAAGATTTTGTCTGTCATGCTTATCCTAACTCAGTTATGTACCCTTTGACGGAGAAACAAGCTACTCATAAGGCCTCGAAAACAATCCTCCAGCTACATCGGTCCTAGGCCACCTTTCGGGCCTTTTCCCATTATAGATGAACTGAAGCAGGCTTTCCTTTTTTTGGGGGGGGTTCTTCTTACGATAATTTTTGGTTCCCCGTTTCCTTTCCGAATCTGTTGCTCCGAAAACGTATAGAAAGGTTATCTTTCCTGATTCTCAAATACACCATCGTATTTTCCTCCTCGCATGATTCCACAAGTTCTTGCGATATCTTGTCTTGTATTTTGATCCGATTTTCTTAAGAAATAGGTTTCATTTTGACCTGCGGATGATCTTCGCAGGTGCAGTTGTGCAATTGCACGTTACCTGCTGGGATCATTGCTTTGCTTGATTTTCATCAAAAAATATGATAATTTTCTTTTACGGGAAAGAAGAACCCTCTAAAATATGCTCTGATCTCAACGAGTGGCGTCTTAGCTTAGTTAGTTGAAGCACCCCACTGGTTTTGGGGAGGCACGGGTTTGAATCCTGTTGAAGCCTAAATTTTTCTTTGGGCTTCTCAGTTTCTGCAACTGTGTAGAATACAGGTCAACTTCGAGGATCATTGTTCAATTTATTTGGCCTTCCTAATTTTTTCATATGATCTGTTAGTCTCAACGTATAATCATAATATCAGAGTTAAATTTTTCTTGTTTTTCAAACTAAAAGTGGTAAAAACATTTCACATAACATTGAGTTAATGTGTTTTAAAATACAAAGACAAATATTGTTTGATGTCCCTTAATAGAGGAAAAATTAACTTACAGCCAAATCAATTTAGTATTTGTAGCGAAAATGTCAGATGGCAAACTCTTCAATGGGTTATCAGACAAGAATCTGAAAGATAAAAAAACCAAAATTTAGAAGTGCAACTCGAACTTGTTAATAGTGGCCCTGTTTAAGCCGTCAGTTTGGCATTGTCAAGTATATCATACTGATACAAAGAATAAAATAAAATGAATGGTTATCCAATAAAACGCTCTTTCCATAAATCGCCTCCTTTACATGTCAGAATGTGTCACTTAATTTACGTGAAAGACCTTTACGTTTACTCACGGTTAATCCTTATGGAATTAAAAGATCACGATTATTAATAAAGCTAAGCCCGTCCTTGGACGCATCTCCTTAGTCCTCTTTTGGGTCACCCTCGCTGAAGTACTTGATTACTGGTGCTTTGAATCTCTTGATTCCATATCCACTCGCATTCTTGTTTGTCAGGCGGCGTAGTGGCTCTCACATTTCTGAAAGGTTTTGAAGGAATTAAGGAAGGTGCCTTACTAGCCCTATAAATCTCTGCACTGCCGATACATGTGCTGCTCGCTCCAGCTTGACTGTTGCATCCGATTTCCTTTGCTCTGTCTTCAATCCATTCTTCGTCACTACAGATCCAATGAATGGCACTTTGCTTCATTTGAATTCGAACTTCTCCTTTTCCAGCTTGATAAATTTTGCTCAACAATGATCTTACCCTATTATGACTGAAATTTGTTTAGCGCTAATGAATTGTGTTGGTCTTGCCTACGCGGTAATTATTCCACGACTTTAAGACTTTATCGATCCTTCCTTTCTCTTCCTTGGAGGAAAATAGTGAACCAGGGTTGATATCGACGGCTTCTGACCTGATACATGTTGAGGGCAAATTCCATGTCTGAAGCCAATTTTTCCAATTCTTTACCAGATCTACACAAAGATCTAGCCTCAGAAGAACTGGTAAACAGAAGTGAAGATTTGCTGCGGATTTTGAGGCTTGGAACTGATGCGCTGCAGCTGCTATCTGCTTGCGACGTCATATTTGTCTAGGTTCTGTCGCCGTGTCTCGGTTCAAAGTCAGCTTAAATTCGACTAAAATACAAGTTAAAAAGTTGCTATATGTCTTGCTAAGAATTTGCTACGCCACCATATAGCGTTAGCCGCCCGACATATCAGAAAAGACAGGGTAAACAGAACTTTAAAAAAGAGTTGATGGCCTACCAGCTCAAAACACATGGTTCTACCGGGTCACGATAGGACTCTTAGATAGCCTTTCGGAGAGACTCGAGTAAATGTTATGAGTTTTCTTGTTGCTCTCCAGGCCTTGTACATTCATAGACAATAAGCACCTTTCATGTGCTTTACTTCGTACGCGAACTAGTACAGGTTTAACGGGTAAGTACTTTTGCCCTTTAGAGGCTTAAAAACCAGTCACATTGAGACCATTTTTACGCAACGAGGAGTAACTCGGATGCTATATGTCAATTAGTAACCTGCGTACTTAAAATGTGACCAAACTTTGCTTTGATATGTCACATAGCGGCCTTAAGACTTTGTCATGTTGCTGCGTTGATGGTTTTTTGTTTATCCTCCGGCCTAAGTAACGAACTTTTCCTTGTCAGCAGATTCAAAATCAAGCTCGATTGAACAAGACAACGGGACGCCCTTTCCTTTAAGTAGCAAAAGTTGGCCTCTGGTGGCCATTCACTACCCCCTTTTCCCAACTCGACGGTCCAAAGGGAATCAGGCTGAAAATTGCGTGAATTAATTACTATCTGTTAATTATTGATGATTAATTAGATTTTATTAGGGTAAATGATCACCAAGTAATTAAAAACTATATTACTCCTTCATATAAGGCAGATTCCAAACCTAGCTTTTTTCATTCGGAGCTGAAGAGTCATCAAGACTAATGTATCATACATTAATATAAATCTATGACTTTGGCGACAAAGTCCATATACGGTGATGCCTTAAACGTCACAGATATTTTAGTTCATTTTTTTAGACGTATGAAACAGCTCTATAAAAAGTTCGCAAACAAAATATGAGCGTCCACTTATTGAAGTACACAACACGTGTCCAGCTTGGAAACTCATCGCGATGGCTTAAACCTAAATAACTTCGCACGTCGAATTCCTATAAAAACTACATGCCAAATAATAACGAATGACTAAATGATAATAAACAAACTAGATACCTCATAGTATTGTGACGTCTTCTTGTGCAAGTTAAACACCATAAGTGTCACTAGCAAGTACTTATGACTCTCATATCACAAAGATAAAGAAATAGGTAAATTAAGGAGTGCTCCACTGAACATTGACCTGACCCTGTTTCGATTTGTTGCATGGAGTTTAGAGATCGACGCCGTGTAATGATGCTTCATTAAATAGATTTCTTTCTCTGGTCTACTTGGTTGTCTTTAAAATGAGCTATGCCACTTTTTTGACCAAGGAATCTTACCATTAGAAAACTTGTAAAAGGTGAAACTTAGAAGTGCAGTATTTAAAAGGAGATTGTGTAAAAAAAAAAAAAACTAGAGATAGAAAGGAATTCTCGTTCAGAGCACTAACTTCAGAACATACTAACTTTAAAATAGACGTCACAAGTTTTTTTTGATAATTTGTAGAACGCGCAAAATTTAAAGATCTAAAAGATTTAAAGATTTATAAAGTAATGTTCAGCAGAAGCGAGGACAGGGATGTAACACAGGGGTAGGAAGGTGGTGTCTGAGGGTGCATTTGACCCATTTTATTTGTAGAGGAAATGAATTGCATGTTTACGAAAATTGAACATTCCTGCTTAGTAGCTGATTTCATTTGGAGCCAAGACAACGCTGCTCGTATCTGCTGATTTTTTTTACCTATGTGCAATAGATTTGACGCGTTCCTTAAACAAAAATAAAACAGAGTCCAAACTTACATAAATTTAAGCTCGGTGTTGCTACTGAAAATGCCTGATGGTAATTTCTTCAACTGGTTGCTGTCCAACAACCTACCAAAAGTAATAGAAAGGGGGTGTCGGGTGTTGGAAATGTCGAATTTTTCTTAATTTTCTGATCTCCTAACAAAGTCACATGTCCAAGAACCGATGTCTTCTTTTCAGTTATAGAGAAGGAGACCAAGGGTAGCATTATGAATTATAATCTGGCTCAAAACTAGTTGAGACTTCTTGGTTTCTTTTTGTTAAGCACTAAAAACAACTGAATCCTTTCAATCCGATCAAACGGATTGTGGTTTTAGTATAGGTACATGAATGTCTTACAACACACAAGAAATGAGTGAAATCCGTGTCTCAAGCAAAATCGACCGGACCGCTCTTACAGAGACACTCTCTTAACCCTTGGCCCACCTTCGTTATTTTGTTTAGGTTACGTTTGATAGTTATGGGCAAAAAATACAAGAGAAAAAATATTTTTTCATGTTCTACCTGAGGTCCTGGAACACACCCGCTAGCAAACTCTTTGTGCTAATGCTACGTTTTAAAGAGTGGGAAAATTTAAAATAATAACACAGAATGTCTCAACAGTTTTATTGGAATTTATGCCCATAAGACAAAGCGACAAAAGTACTACGTATGCTTCATTACTCGTGCCTTTTGAGTGTTTAGGGCTACCATTCTTATTCCTTTGCAAACAAAGCTTAGGCTGGTTTTCCACCAAGACAACAAACTTTTTCGCCAGGGGTCTGGCCACCGAGGGGGCGATGACGTAAAGAAGCGCTAAAGCCGGTGACACACCTAGCGACTTTATACGCCGATCACGGCGATCGGCGAAAATGGCCAGGTGTGCCTTTTGCAGCGATTACGATTTTCGCCAATCCCCGCGATCGGCGTATATCTGGCATGTCAGATATCGGCGATTAAATTCGTCGGCATTCGCCAAGTCTGCCCGTTCCCGCGATTTTCTCGCCTTTCCTCTGCGAGTCGGCAGTAAAATTAACCAATAAAGTTGGGCAATATTATCACATGATTTTTCAAAATGGCGGAAGGCATCGAAAATTGTTTCTGAACCGAAGAAAAGAAGTCAGTTTGATCACACTGCGGTCAGAAAAACCATGCTTATTTGGTGTAACGTCGAGTGACTGCGGTAATTGTCTCAAGAAAGACTCTGCGTTTCAGTAAATCCATGTCTTTGACTATATTTTTCCATTGTCCCACTTTAAAGAACGCTTCCTGGAGCGCTTTGGTTGCAAAATTATGGCAGCAGCCAACAATTTTTTTCGCTTCGCTGTCGCCATTTGGTTTGTTTACATTAGTTCGCGCATTTTTTCAACGTCACCCGATGGAACCTGGGATGAAGGCTGAATGCCACATTGTCGTGATCGGCAAAAAAATCGCCAAGTGTGTCCGCAGTGATCTGTGGCGATCAATTTCGTTGCGATCGGCTTATAAAATCGCTAGGTGCGTCGCCGGCTTAAGGCGATAGGTGCTACGAACTTTGTGGCCATATTAAGGATGCTCTACTTTGGTTGATAAATCCATACCTGCTACTGCAATATATTTTTATTTAGTGACGTAGAAGGTTTAAAGGTTTTAGAAGGTTTTAGTGACGTTGACTGAAACTTTCCTGAAAACGGTAGCCTTGTCTATTTCGGTTTGGGTTTATCCCCGCGAAATGAAAACAAGGGATGGGAATTTAAAAAATGCCGCAATTTTGCCTAGATGGTTATACTATGTAAATATTGTCGTTCCCATCCTTTACGCGCGTAAAATTTCTCGTGTGTTACAAGCATGTACACTCATTGATCCGCTTTGTCTATACCGTATGTTCATTTGAGCATGCGCAAACGAAACGCTATGCTTAGGTTTAATGGGTAATTTGGTGTTATCGACTGAGTTGAAAATGTAAAGTACTGTGTCATTTTATTACATTGGAACCGCAATGAACATCATTGTATCACCAACACCGATGAAGAACAACCGTAGCTGCAGTTTAATTTGTCTCCAGCATGAGTTCCGTTATCAAAAACACAGAACTTTAGCTTACAGAGAATCCTATTTGATGGGTTAATGTTCTTTCGGGACGTATAAAACAGCTCTATAAAAATGTAAATAACAATTTTGGACTCAAAACCGAGTGCTTCCACTTTGTTCTACAGTATTTTCGCGTTTTTTGCCCAATGTTTCAATGAAACTTGGTTCATTATCCACTGACACCTCGCAAGCGTAGAGCGGTAAGCTCTCATAGTTTGATGCTACTCTGGTTTGCAGATAAAATGAACGTAACCGAAGAAGTTACAATTCATGGACCCAACGTTTCGACACTCCTGTCTAGTGCCTTCATCAGGGGTGATCTAGACACTGCAACAAGAGGTCCTTTTATATGATCACTAATTAGCGGTCTTTTTTCTGACAAATGTAAATAGGCGTCAGGAAGCAAACCACCATCGTCACGATTTAAAGGAGCGTGGGCGGAGTTAATATGCCAAGCCTCCAAACAAAGGCGCTGGTGGTAACGCCGATTAGTGGTGATAATTTTAGAATTATCCCACCCAATTGTATGGTTGGTTAGGCATGCGTGCTTCGATAAAGCGGAATTTTCCTTTTTGCAAAAGAAAACCGCGTTTGATGCTCTTTTAAACGTGTACCAAACTGACGTTTGGTCTGTCCGATGTATTCGTGGTCACAGTCATTGCATGGAATAGAATAAATGGCGTCGGTTCGTTGTTCTTTCGTGACAGGATCCTTAGGTTTGGCGAAAATATGCCCAAAGTCTGAAAAGGTTTTTGAGCAACTTTAACGTTGTGGCTATTCAAAATTCTCTCGATGGGTTCGGTACCACCTTGAATGTAAGGAATAACAGCAAAACCAGTCCCTGGTTCCCTTTCATCAAGAGCGTTACTAGTTGTAACTGGTTTTTTGCAGTTACGGAGAAAGGTTTTTGTATAGCCATTTGCCTTTAGGACATTAGAAACATATTTCCTCTCCTCAGCCTTCGAATCGAGTGAAGATGGTAGACAGTCAGCCCTCCTGAGTAAAGTTTTGGCTACAGACTTTTTATGGCAAATAGGGTGGTGAGAATCGAAAGCGAGGTATTTGTCGGTGTGGGTAGGTTTACGGTAGGCACTGTCTCTAAATTACCCTGAACCTCTCTGGACACATTTAAATCAAGAGAGGGCAAATGTCTATCCTTTTCACGCTCAAGGGTATATTGGATCGAAGGCTCTACTGAATTGAAATGCGACAGGAGGTGCTCCGCCTTGTTTCCGGATACCGCAGAAATAACATCATCGACATATCGTTTCCAGAAAAAGAGTTTAACCGATAAAGTGGCTATGGCCCTTTGTTCCACGTCTTCCACTACCATGTTAGCAATGACAGCAGAGACAGGGGAACCCATCGCTGTACCAAAAACTTGTTGATAGTAGGTGCCGTTATATGTAAATTGCGTGGTTTTGAGGCAAAAAGACAGCAGATGAATAATATCCTCCACAGGCAAAGAAGTTCCTGGTCCTAGGGAGGCATCTTCTCTGAGTGAAGAGCGAAACAACGTCGAAAGATATTAATTCTTCATAAGCGTTAAGAGTTTTATCTCCTATAAAATCCGCAAATTCGCAGGAATTTTTGACAGTGCAATCAGTATTCCCACAACAGGCGACAAAATTCTCGCAAGATAACCGGAAATTGCACAAGTCGGAGAATTAACAAAAGAGACAATGGGTCTTACAGGAATTCCCGGTTTATGAATTTTAGGTAAGCCATAAAAACGTGGACATAAGCCGTCCCTACTGTATAACATTTGGTACCTAGAGTCACTAATTTTACCAACCTTTTTTCAAATCAAGCAACATTTTGTTTAACTTTCTTTGAGTTTTACTGGTAGGATCAGAGTTTAAGACAGCATACGTACTCTTGTCATTAAGCAGAGACAAAGCTTTGTCGTGATATTGCTTTTTGTCCAACAACCACCGATACATTTGCTAATCGCTCCATTTTGACTGTTGCCTCCAATCCATTGTTCGTTATCACAAGTCCAATGAATGGCACTTCATTTCATTTGAATTAGAACCTCTCCTTTTTCAGCTAGATAAATTTTACTCCACAACAGTCCTGCTCTATTATGACTGAAATTTGTGTAGCGCTAGAAAATTGTGTTTGTCTGGCCTACCCAGTAATTAGTCTACATCTCTAAGACTATTTTTCCATGGAGGAAAAAGGAAAACCAGAGGAGATGTCGATAGCTTCTGTCCCGATACATGTGATCTCCTAGAAGACCTAGCCTAGAAATGGAACGGTAGAAGTGAAGATTTGCTGTGGTGTTTGAGGCTTAAAACTGATGCGCTATTGCTGCTATCTGGTCGGTACGTCATATTTTTCACTGTCTTATTTCTCACCAGTTCTCTGTCTAAAGTTAGCTTAAATTCGGCTCAAACACAGTTTAAAAGGTGCTTTATATTATGCTGAGAACTTGCCATGCCCCCAAATGATGTCGTGCCTGACCTTTCTTGTTGTCCCTCCAGGTCTCATGCATCCATCGAAAATAGGCACCTTTCATGGGCTTCCCTTCGTACGTAGGTCTCACCCGTTAGCACTATTGACCTATGGGGTCTTAAAAACCGGTCACATTGATACAACTTTTTTACCCAATAAGGTGCAACTCGGATGCGAGAATAAATAAGCAACCTAAGTACTTAATATGTGACCTAAAGTTGCTTTGATTTGTCTCATAGTGGCTTGAGACTTTGTAATGTCGCTGCATTGATGGTCTTTTGTTTATCTTCCGGCGTAACTAACGAACTCATCCTTATCAGAATATTTAAAATCAAGCACGAATGAACGAGACAACGAGACGCCCTTTCCTTTGGGAGGCAAAATTAAGCCTGTAGTGGCCCATCCATCTCACCCACCATTTCCTTTCGTATCTCGATGCTTCAAGGCCGAGAAGTGCTTGAATGGATTACTATAAATTAACCATTAATGATTGATCAGATTTCATTTGGGTAAACAATCACCAAGTAATTAAAACTACAAACTTCCTGCATATAAGATAAGTTCCAAGCTTGGCTTTTATATTAGGGGCTGGCGGGTGTATTAAGGTTGATGTATCAAACAATGATACAAATCTGTGACTTTGGCAGCAAAGTCATTATTGTGATGCCATAAATGTCGTTATCTGTCCCTAAAATTATCTGGCTATGTCCTCTTGTCTTGCTTTTTAAAAGTCAGTAGGATTAAAACTACAAAGAAGAGTCTTTACTCTTTGACTTACAGATATTTTAGTTAATTATTTGTTACGTATGAAACAGCTCTATGACAAGGTATTAGACAATCTATACGTTTTCACGTATGGAAATTAAGTAACACATGTTCAACTTGGAAACTCGTCGCGATGGCTTAAACCTTCGGACTTCGAATTCCTATAGTAACTACATACCGAATATGAACTAATGTCTAAATCGTAATAAACAAACTAAATACTTGATAACATTTGGACGCCCCTCCCTGTGCAAGTGAAACACTATAAATGTCACTACCAGTATTTTTGACTTTCATATCACAAAGATAAAGTAATAGGTAAACTAAGGAGTGTCCCAGTGATTATTGACCTGACTCTGTTTCGATTTGTTGCATGGAGATCGACGTTGTGTGACGTTCCTTCATTGTATAGATTTCTTTCTCTAGTTTACTAGATTTTCTTTTCGACGAGCAATGCCACTATTTGACCAAAGAAACTTATCATGGGTAAACTTTTAAAAGGCGAAACTTGGGATTGCATTATTTGACAAAGAGATTATACAATATAATAACTACGATTAGAAAGGAAATTCTTTTTGAAAACACTAAATTCAGAACACATTAAATTCGGAATACACTTCACAAATTTTCTCTGATAATTTATATAGCGAGCAAAATTAGAAGATATGTAAATGGATGGTATGTAGTGTTCAGCTGAAGTGAGGATAGGGATGTAGCACAGGGGGTAGGAGGGTGGAGTCAAAGGGTGCATTTGACCTGCGCCACTTCTCCATTGTACGTGCAGGGTAAAAAAATTCCATGTTTACAAAAATAAAACATTCCTGCTTCGTAGCTGATTTCATATGGAGCTGAGACATCGCTGCTCGTATCTGTTGTTATTTTTATCAATGCGCGATGGATTTAACGCGTTCCTCACATAAATAAGACAGACTCCAAACTTACAGCGCTCTCAGCTTGGTGTTGTTACTGAAAATACCTGATGGTAATTTCTTCAACTGGTTGTTGTTCAACCCCCTACCGAAAGTAATAGAAAGGGGTTTTAATTACGTTGTGCTTATCAACATAGTGGGGGCACTGTGTATGCTCGAAAATGACGTATAATTTAGAGTTATAATCTGCTAACAAAGTCGTATTGTTTAATAACTGATATCTTCTGTCCGGTTTTACTTATTGAGACCTAACATTGCAGACCGTCATTTAGAGCAGTCCTCATTATGTTCCAGCCGACATTGATTGCAGGGAGGGGGAGTTTAAGAAATACCAAGACATAAATTGTCATAATAGCTTTTTTTCAACTTTACATACTCATTGTATTCACTTGTACCAGCACAAATGATAACGCCATGCTTAAAATTATTTCGCTGGTAAAACTCAAGATGTGAAGTAGTTTTTATTGCTTAAAGTAGCTTGAAGAAGGATTGAAAATCAAAAGAAACCCGGCATGTTAGTCTTGTGGTCGGGCTCTATTAAGCAAAATTTTTATGCTCTATAGCTAGTGATATACTCCCTGTGATTTTGATCTCTCAAGGGATGGATGGGGGAGGAATGTCATTACAGAGAGTCGTCCAGAGTGGAATAAAAAGACAATTTGTGTTAAAGCTAACCTTTAGTTATATTATATACTATTTTCGGTGTTATATCTGAGGATACATAACAAACAAAATTTCTGCAAAAAAATTGTTTCTAGCTCTTTTAAGTATACCTATCTCATACGATAAATATGAAATATTTCTGCCTGTCACTTTTCGCAAATTTCAATCATTTTAGGCAAAAGAGTTAGAAAACGGAGAAAAGGCCTCCAGATAAATGGGAACAATTTCATGATTAAATTGAAATAAGGCGGGACTCTACTCATTGAACCATAATTTACACACTCAAAAATACTGTATATAAGTGGCAGAGGTACAAAACCAAGCTTTCAGCTCGATTTGGGCGTGTCAGCTTAATTGATAGGGCATTATGCCGGAATTGTGGAGGTCATGGGTTCAACTCCGTGAGGGCCTGGGCTCAGTTGTTCGAAGGTCAGTTAGCAGTAGCCCAGGATCAAATTTAACTCCGGGTTTCTTTATTTCTTTGTTGAAATACATTTTAGGGATAATTCTCATTTTTCTTTTTAGAGCATGCAATAATCCAATTTGGACAAAGAGAATTAGACTGGATTTTCTTTCAAAGCTTTCAGATCTGAAACCAGATTTTATGCTAACCCTGTGTAATTTTTTCCAGCTATAAACAACCCGGCCCATTATTTAAAGGCTTTATTTCCACAACTGTTTTAACAGTGTTCATTATTGTGATGATCACTCATCTTCAACTTGAACATAGTTTTAATTGCGTTGAACGTGAAAGATTTTTGGCTGGACGGAACCATTGTGGCACAATTTGAATTATATTCGTCATCTCAGTTTAATATTCAGCCCAGCAAATCAACATTAAAATATTTTCAGGTTTTAGCATGATCAAAAATTTTCAGCCGGCCTTCAAGCCTGACGAGAAACAGCTTTGAAGTAAATGAAAATACGAGTAACTAGTTGGTATACCATGCAGTGGCACGGCAGCGCTTCAACTTCGCACAACTAGCATTCTTTTGTAATGATGCCCATGAACAAATTTTGCCCGTATGATTGAAAAAGACACTTTTGCTGATAAAGTACTGGATAAAAATGTCACTTCAATATGGACTTGTTCATGCCACCCACACGGCCACTGGTCCCTCTGTGGCTGACAAGGTGGAATTCTAGGTTGAGCGAGACTTACACAGAGGGTTAACGTGCCCTCCCTTGGACCCCACCCTATGTTCAAAACGTGATGCTCAGTGATGGTGCGGTAAAGACTGAGTTCAGTTAGGCGCAATGCGTTCTCAAGTAATCCCTCTGAGTATGGTGACAACTGGAATTCCAATTGGTAAGTTCCGTTCGAATCTGCATTCACATCCTCTGAACCAAATGCACAGTGGAGAGGACTCTTAGAGGGCCTTGTTGAGAGACTCAGCAGAATGATTTCCTGCCTGAGTTTTCTTCTTGTCTCTCCAGGCCTCGAACATTTATCGCAAATTAGCACCTTTCACGCGCCTTACTTTGAACGTTAAGCACAAGAAGTTTCACTGGTGAGTATGTGTGACTCTTAGAGCCTCATAGACTTGTCAAATTGAATCAACTCTTGGACGCAACAAGGGGCAACTCGGATGCTAGGATAAATTAGTAACCTTAGTACTTTAAATATAACAGAACTTTGTTTTTATATGTCATATAGTGGCTAGAAAGCTTCTGATGGCACTCCATTAATGGTCTTTCGTTTATCTTCGGTGTAACTAACAAACTCATCCTTGCCAGCAGATTAAAAAATCAAGCAGGATTGAACGACACATTGTCTTATGAAATCCTATCAAATCGAAATTCATCCCATTTCAATGACAAGACAGCCGGCGAAGAGACTTAGTGTTAAAGTTACCAAACAAGGACCCATTTTGTTAAAAGAAAACGCAACCATAGTAATAGCAACCATGATTATGATAACAAAGATGATTATAATAACAATTATGATACTACTATCGAGTTCCATCAAATTTTATTCTTATCAAAGTCATTCCTTCTGCCGTTGTGGTAAATATTAGGGGTGTTAATGTTTCGTGTTCAGTGTCGAGAACTCTCATTGAGTAGCGGTGCTTCTTCTCATTCTCATACATATTGTATATTTTTGTGGCTCTTGGTTCTTATAGGATTCGACATTTGGGTGGCAGTCCCTGGCATCAGAGAATGCCGATCGTCGGTGCTCGTAGAGCTTTGTTAGATCCTCTGTTCAGCTGTTCTCCGAAGATTTCTTGAGGGAGGGATTCGACTTGAACATCGCTGCATACCGTACTTAAGAGTTCAGCTTCATCTCATTACGTCGTTGTATGACAAATCCGCCTCGTTTACAAATCATGGCGTTGTCTAACGCAAAGACATCTTTGCACACAGAGGGGAATATCATAGACTTGCCAGTCATATTATACTTTGAGAGCATTACAGAACTCCTATTTAATCAGGTTGTAGCCCATTTCTCGGATAGGAAGTATTTTCAGCTGCCAAGTCAAGCACCCGCTTGATCTTTGGTGGTGCCCTCACCCTAATCCTCTATGCCCTATCTTTGAGTTCTCCTGGTCTTTCGAAAGTGACTACATTCTGTGCCGACTTACTAAGAGACTCGTCCGGTAGCTAGTGTGTTTAAGGTGTTTGAGATACTTAACGAGGTGCGTCGACACTTTGACTGATGAAGCGTACTCCCGCCTTGGATTTGCAAGGCACGGGCGCCTCCCAAGCGAACATTAGAGATAAGATTTCCGTATCTAGCTGATTAAACCTGCATTTCGATTTTCCAGGAATAAGTCTCAGATATATTCCTTTCTCCAGTGGCTCTGGTAGATTCTGGTTCCTCGAGCGGCGTTGCCAGAAAGTCCACCGATGTTTTAGGCCCAAGGTGGAAACGGCATAACATTCCTGTGGCTGTGTCTGAGTGACCTCTATCAATTACCCTACCTCACTGACCCATCAGACACCTTCTCACTAACGAATTCCTCGTGAGCCTATCGCTGCGCCTCGTTGCGTTTTCCACTCTATACTGTTATAGTAATGTCCGTTTCTTAAAATACTTCCTTCACAATTTCTGTCTTGTCCGGTTTTGCGATAATCCATCACTCCTTTATGTTTGAGAAGAAGCCAAAATCTGGACCCAGGGTACTCTGCATGCCCTACTCTCTCATTTCTGTAGTATAGTGTGTCCCACCAACATCATCGGGGAATCAGCACTGCTTTGCTATGGGCGCCACCTGTAAATACGTGAACACAGGCTGGACGCTTAGGAAAAAAAAAAAGCGGCAGTGACCGGATCTGCCTGTGTTTTCCCTTCTGCTGAGTGACAGGATCTCTTTATCGTCATTGATAAGTTAATAATTGTCTCTACGGCTTAGTCACGAATAAAGGTGTTCTACTTTAATATTCCTATTGAATATGTCGTTTAGTAAGTCGTCCAGTTGGTTGTTATCCAAACACCTGTCTGCTAATGATGACAGTTAGTATGTGTAACATGTATTCAGCTTCTTTATCAGTCTAAATGCATCATCATTATATATCATCAATACTTTTAGGTAGCTAGAGATGTTTTGGGTAAGAACCAATGAAATCCATTTTTAAATTTCGCTCTTCGTGGATGTCAATTGAAACATTCATCTATGATTTCTCTATTTAAATCCTTCTTATGGGGATCACGATCAATTTGTTTGATTCCATTTTTACCCTTTTTACGACTCAAGTAAGATCTGCCTTACAGAGAATCTTACTTGTAGGGTTAATAATCATCGGGGACGTATGAAACAGCTCTATAGAAATGAAAAGAACATTTCTGTTAATGATAACAATTATATTTCTCATAACAATTATGATACTACTTCTACGTATGTACTATGATTTAATACTTATCTTTATCAAAAAAATTCATAAACTAAAACAATCTGTGACTGGAAATATAATTCATGTTTGAAATAACTACGCCTGAAAAATCGATAAAAAGTTGCCGATCGTTGGTGTTCGCAGAATCCACATATAAGAAAAACTAGCCTTGTGCTTTGTTAGCTCGTCTGTTCAGCTGTTCTCTGCCAATGTCTTGAGGGACGGGTTCGCCTTCAACATTGTTGCATACCGCACTTAATTAAGACTTCACCTTCCAGGTCTCTCAGCTCATTATGTCGTTGTATGACAAATCCGCTCCGATTACAAATCATGGCGTGGTCTAACACAAAGACTTCCCTGCATGCACACATGAACACGCGTAGAGAATATCATCGATTGGCCATTCATATTTGAGGTTGACAGCAGTACGGAACTTATTACAATTGCGTTCCGTTACCGCAACAATAGGTCGTAGAGATACGGATGTCTCGCATTTTCCAGTGGCTCTAGTAGATCCTGGTTCTTGGGAAGTAAGTCAACCGATATTTTGAGCCGAAGGTGGAAGCGGCATAGTGTGCCTGTGCTTCTTGTCTGAGCGATCTTCGGGACTGATAGGCGAGTACGTTGAGGTAAGGACGTTGGTCTACAGGCAGCATTCGATTATACTTACGCATAGTCCTACAAGTAACTTGACGGCTTTGACAACCGTCCAGATTTAGTGGTGCGGCCTCCACTATCTGGGGCTTTAAAATTGTCAAGTGTTACGGCTTATTAGGTGATATTTGAGCGTCTGCTGACGGATAAACTTGAGGCTCGTTTGAAGTGGCTAGGATCGGATATATTTTTGGCAACAGGGAACCCTTCCAAGACTGTTTTGTTCAAGCTCTGTAAGGTTGGGGTCACAAGTCGTCTCTCTCTCGAGATTTGTTTGAGGCAGTGGTCTCGAACGGAAAGGAAGTGGTAGGCATTGATGCTTTCGACCTCTACTCTTGCGAGGAAAAGGTCACAGTCCTTCATGTAAGCTTTTGACAGAGTGATGACTAGTAGGATAACTTTCCCAGGCTTGTAGCATATCTCGCAGAATCTCGATACTGCTGATGTCGTGATAAAAGGACGCTCTAGCCTCTTGGGTGCTGATGTTAGGGGCTTCCTGCATAAAAAAGATCAGGGGCTTTTATTCAGTTCGCAGGATGACTTTCTCAGCGAACACGTATTGCTGGTTACGCTCCATGCTAAGGAATGGGGCGAAACATTCCTTCTTGATCTGTGAGTACTTCCTCTTTGCCAACTGGAGCACCCTACTTGTAGATGTCACTGGTTGACCACGCTGTACCAGTAAAAAGCCAAGCCCATCCTTGACCCTCTGTTGGGCCCCTTTCGCTGAGTACTGGCGCTTCGAGTCTCGTGAGTTCACATCCACTCTCACTCTTGCGTGTCAGGCTGCGTGGTGGCCTTCGCATTCCTGAAAGGTTGTGCAGGAATTTAGAAAGGTACCTCACTGGTCCTATATATCTCCGGTCTGCTGTCACATCTTCTTCATCACACGTCTAATGAATGACACTTCGCTTCATTTGAATTCGAAATTCTCCTTGTTCAGTTTGATGTGTTTTGCTTAACAACAGTCTCGGTCTACTATGACTGAAATTTTTTTGTCTTGCCTACACACAGTATATTCCACAACTCCGAGATTTTATCGATATCACCTTGCTCTTCCTTAGGGGGGAAACGGTAAAAAAAAAATGGATATTGCTTTCATGTGATGAAAGACGCCTCTCGATAGTTTCCTAGCATCGAGTGTAAATCGAGTGAAAATTCCATGGTTGAAGTAGTTTTTTCATATACTTTTCAAAATCTTCACGAAAATCTAGCTTCGGAAGGACTTGAACATAGAAGTGAAGATTTGCTGCGGTGTTTCAGGCTTGGAACTGATGCGCTGCTGCTGCCATCTGGTTGCGGCGTCATGTTTTTCAAGGTTCTGTCGCCGTTTCTCTGTCCAATGTCAGCGTAAATTCGACTGAAACACAGGTTAAAAGCTGATATATGTCCTGCCGAGAAGTTGCCATGCCCCCATGTAGCGTTGACGGCCCGAAACAAGAAAAGACGGGGTAAACAGAGCTTTGAACAGATTTAATGGATTACCAGCTCCAAAGCACATGGTTCTATAAGGTCACGATACCTCACAGCAGAGTCCTACAATTACAAGACACTCTCACAATTTGGAGGGAAATCATCATAACATGCATGTTTTTTTGGGATAGTATATCACAAGAACCCTTTTCGCTTTTCTTTAATTCAAAAATTGTAACTTGGCACCGGTGTCCACACCTGATTACAAACAGTTATAATGTAAGTGAAGAATACGAGATTAGTGGGTATACCACTTCACATCTTTGCATAATTATTTTTCTAGCATAAAAAACCCTTTAAAAAAAATTGATATCGTGCCCGCCTGAGTTTTCTTGTTTTCCCTCCAGGCCTCGTACAATCATTGAAAATAAACACCTTCCATGGACTTTACTTCGTACGCTAAGTAATACAGGTCTCACCAGTAAGTGCTTTTGACCTTTAGAGCCTGAAAAACCGTTCGCATTGAGATAAATTTTCGATGCATTTTTGATGCTAGGATAAATTAGTAGCTTGCGTACTTAAAACGTGACAGGACATTGCTCTGATTTGTCACATAGTGGCTAGAGACTGTGATGTTGCATCATTGATGGTCTTTTGTTTATCTTCCAGAGTAACTTACGAAAACGTCCTTTTCAGTAGATTAAAAATCAAGCTCCATTGAACGACACAACGAGACGCTCTTCCTTTCAAGTGGAAAAAATAGGTGTTTTCCACCTCGACGCAGTAAAGGGAATCAGGCCGAGAAGTACTCGAATGGATTTCTATATCTTAATTATTAATGATTAATCTGATTTAACAAGGGTAAATAATAAGTCTTTCAATGGTAATGACCGTTTCCTTAAATTCTTTCACATATTCTTTCTTGTGAGGCTTTGCGATAATCCAGCGCTTCTTGCTGTTTGGAATGTAGCCAAAATCTGGACCCAGGGTACTCAACATGTTCCACAATCTGTCGATTTGTGTAGCAGAGCCTGCCCCACCAGCATCATCGGTCAACGAGCACTGCTTTGAAGTGGACGTCATCTGCAGACTCGTGATCAGAGGCTGGATGCTAAGAGCACGAGGAGCCATAGCGATCAGATGTGGTCCTTTCTGTTCAGTGACAGGATCTCTTTGCCTTCAGTGGTAAGTAAACAACCACCTCAACGTATTAGTCACAACCGCACTTATAAGGTTTACCTCTGTTTTTATTGATTTTGTAATCGGTTCATTGAGCATCAGCTTGCGCATATAAAAGCTAAGTTGGTGTTCCTTTGATTCCGAGTAGCCTTGCCAACCTAATACTCTTGAAGTTTTTTTACTTTTGACCCTTGGCTCAAGTGGGACCGATATGCGAGTACCTTTGTAATATTGGTTTTAGCTCATGTTTCATAGTTATGGGCCAAATTTTTCAAAGGAACATATCTCTTTCATGTTCTGCATGAGGCCCTAAAACACAGGCGCTAGCAAGCTGAATTGTTTAAGATGCGATGTTTTCTCTTCGGTGTTCCATATTAATGCCTAAAATGGGTAAATGAGCTGACCAATAATACATGCAATGGGTACACAAAATGTCTTAATAGTCTCATTTAAAATTATATACAGCAGCTTCATTTAGAAAGGTGCAAAGAAGAAAGCTATGATCATGTCTTTACTGCTAGGTATAGTCATGATCTAAAATGAAACTTCTGAGTAAAATGATCAAATTTTTTTTAAGAGTTTAAATGAGTCGATTAAAGGAGAAACGGCATGTTAGTCTCCTGATCAGGCTTTACGAAGCAAATTTTGCATGCTTTATAGTCGGTGACGTCTACTCAGCGGCTTTGAACTCTCAAGCGGTAGATGGGTGAGGACGGTAGTCTACAGTCAGCCATTCGATTATACTTATGCATTGTCCTGCAAGTAACTTGATAACTTTGACAACCGTCCAGATCTAGTGGTCCGGCCCTCACTTCTTGGAGCTTATCAGGTGTTACGGAGACTGGGCCTTACTTGGTACTGCTACTGTGGCTCTGTCTAATTGTTTAGGTAATATTGTAGCATCTGCTAAAGGAGGTGTTTGAGGTTCTTCTGGAATGGCTTGGATGAATGGTTGCTGGGAGATCACCTTTTGCACTAGGGAAGCCATCCAAGATGGTGTTTTTAAACCTCCGTAGATTGGATCACATATCTCTCTCTCTCTTTCTCTCTGAGCTTCACTGAGTAAGTGATCTGCAACGGAAAGGAAGTAGTTGGTATGAATGCGTTCGACGGCTTCTATTTCTGGGGAAAGATCACAGTCCTTCATGAGAGCTCTTGATAGACAGCTGGCTAACAGTATACTTTTCCCAGGCTTGTAGCGTATCTCGTAGTTATACTGCTGAAGTGGCGACAAGGCACTTTAGCTTCTTGGATGCTTGCTAGGGTCTTCTGGATAATAAAGGACAGGGCTTTTTGATCAGTCCGCAGGATGACTTTCTTACCAAACACATCCGCAAATATTACCAAACAAGTATGCTAAAGACTGGGTTCAAAAATTACTTCTCGATCTGGGAATACTTCCTCTCTGCCAACCTGAGTGCCATCTGACTTGCAGATTTAAGTTGTTCATTATGCTAGATCGGTAAAAAGCCAAGCCCATCCTTGGAGGCGTCTCCTTCGCCCTGTGTTGGGTCACTCTTTCTAAAGTACTTGAGTGCTGGTGCTTTGGAAAAAAGCGTCTTTGATCTTTTCGAAGGCATCTTTCTGCTCAAGAGTCCAGATCCACTGGACATTCTTGCATGTCAGGCGGCATAGTGGCTCTCTTATTTCTGAAAGGTATTAAAATATATAGAAAGATACCTCCTAGCCCCATAAATCTTTGCACTGCTGATGCATCTGCTGGTCGCTCCATCTTGACTGCTGCGTCCAATTTCCTTTAATCTGCCTTCAATCCATTCTTCGTCATCACAGATCCAATGAGTGGCACTTTGTTTCATTTGAATTCGAACTTCTACTTTTTGAGCTAGATGAATTTTGCTCCACAACATACCTGCTCTATTATGACTGAAATTTATTTAGCACTAGAGAGAATTTTGTTCGTCTTGCCTACGCAGTAATTATTTCACATCTCTAATAATTTCTTTTCCATGGAGGAAAAGGGTAAACCAGAGTGGACATCAAGGGCTTCTGTCTCGATACCTGTGATCTCCACGAAGACCTAGTCTCGGAGGAACTGGAACAGTAGAAGTGAAGATTTGCTGCGGTGTTTGAGGCTTACAAATGATACTCTGCTGCTGGTATCTGGTTGCTACGTCATATTTTTCAATGTTCTCTCGCCGTTTCTCTGTCCAAAGTCAGTTTAAATTTGGGTAAACATAGCTTAAAAGCTGCGATATGTCTTGCTGAGAACCTGCCATGCCCCTATGTAGCGTTAGCTGCCCGAAATGATAGAAAAGGCAAAAATAGGACTGTAGTGGTCATTTATCTCCCCCACCCTTTCCTTTCCTATCTCGATGCTTCAAAGGAAAGTAAGGCCGAGAAGCGCTCGAATGGATTACTATATATTAATCATTAATGATTAATCAGATTTCATTAGGCAGTCTAATTATTGTGATTCCATAAACTGTCCCTAAAATTATCTGATTATGTACTCTTGTCTTGCTTTTTAAAATTCAGTAGGATTTAGACTACAAAGAAAAGCCTTAACTATTTGACTTACAGATATTTTAATTTGTTATTTGGGACGTGTGAAACAGCTCTATGACAAGCTATTAGACAAACTATGCGCTTTCACTTTTGGAAGTTAAACAACATGTGTTCAACTTGGAAACTCGTCGCGATAGCTTAAACCTTCGGACTCCTAATTCCTATAGTAAGTTCATGCCAAATATGAACAAATGACTAAAATCGTAAGAAACAAACTGAATGCTTGATAACATTTGGACGCCCCTCCCTGTGCAAGTGAAACGCTATAAATGTCACTGGCGAGTACTTCTGACTTTCATATCACAAGGGTACAGCAATATGTAAATTATGGTGTGTCCCAGTGATTATTGACCTGGTCTTCTTCCGATTTTTTGTATGGAGTTTAGAGATCGACCAGGGAAGCTTATCATGGGAAAACTTTTTAAAGGTGAAACTTGGAAGTGTATTCTTTGACAAGGATAGTACACAATAAGGTAAACTACGATTAGAAAGGAAATTCTTGTTGAAAACACTAACTTCAGAACATACTAACTTCGGAAAACACTTCACAAATTTTCTTTGATAATTTGTATAGCGAGCAAAATTTAAAGATGTAGTAGAGGAAATGGCATCTAGTTTTCAGTAGAGGTGAGGATAGGGATGTAGCACAGGGGGTAGGAGGGTGGAGTCCATGGGTGCATTTGACTTACACCACTACCCCATTGAGCTTGCTGGGGAAATAAATTCCATGTTTACCAAAATAAACATTCCTGCTTCGTAGCTGATTTTATTTGGAGCTGGGACATCGCTGCTCGTATCTGCTACCAATGCTCGATGGATTTAACGCGTTCCTTACACAAATGAGACAGACTCCAAACTTACAGCGCTGCCAGCTTGGTGTTGTTCCTGAAAATGCCTGATGGTAATTTTTTCAATTGGTTGTTGTTCAACTTCCTACCAAAAGTAATAGAGAGGGGTTTTCATTACATTATGCTTGTCAACCTGGTGCGGGCCCCGCGTATGCTCGAAAATGACGTATTTTTTTAGAATTATAATCTGCTGACAAAGTCACATTGTCTAAAAATCGATGTCTTCTGCCCGGTATTACACATCGAGACCTACGATTACACACTGTCATGTAGAGCAGTCCTTATTATAAGCCAGGCGACATTGATGCATTGGGAGGGGAAGTTAAGATACCAAGACACAAATTCTCTAAATAGTTTTTTTTTTTTTTTAACTTTACATACACAGTGTCCTCCCTGTGATTTTTTTCCCTCAAAGGATGGATTTGTTATTGAGAGACTCCAAAAAATGATGTTCTGCCTGAGTTTTCTTCTTGTCTCTCCAGGCTTCATACAGTTATCGAAAATAAGTACCTTTCTCCACCTTACATTGCACTTTAAGTCCTATAGGTTTCAGTGGTGAGTACTTGTGACTCTTAGATCCTCATAAACTTGCAGATTGAATCAACTCTTGGACGCAACAAGATGCAATTGGGATCCTAGGATAAATTAGTAACCTGCCTACTTTAAATAAGACAAGACTTTTTTTTTGATATGTCACGCAGAGGTTAGAGACTTTGAGATGTCACTCCATTGATGGTCTATCGTTTATCTACGGCGTAACTAACAAACTTATCCTTGGCAGCGGATTAAAAAACCAAGCACAATTGAACAATACAACGAAGCGCTCTTCTCTTCGGGTGGCAAAAAATAAGCCTCTAGTAGTGGCCATCTCCCCTCCCCCCTCTCTCCCCTTTTCATAGAATGTTCTACTACTCGTTTTCTTTCCCTGGCGTTGCATTTTATCTTTTCTTGCCTCATTAAATCCTATCAAATCGAAATTTATCGCATTTCAATGACAAGGCGGCCGGTTAAGAGTCTGAGTGTTAAGGTTACCAAACAAGGGCCCATTTGTGAAAGCAAAATAATGACAATGATAGTGATAACAAAGATACAATTATGATACTACTTTCGAGTTCTATCATATTTTATTCTTATCAAAGTTTCTCTTTCTGACGGTTGTGGTAAATATGAGGGATGTTAATGTTTCGTGTCAGATGTCGAGAATTCTCATTGAGTAGTGGTGCTTCTTCTCATTCCCATGCATATCTGTGGATTTTTATTGCTCTTGGCTCTTATTCAGGACTCGCCATTTGGGTGGCAAACCCTGACATCAGAGAATGCCGATCATTGGTGCTCGCGGAGTCCATGTGCATGAATGACAAGCCTTGTGCTTTGTTGGATCCTCTTTTCAGCTGTAGTATCATCCACTGGCCAGTCATATTGTAGTTTGACAGCAGTACGGAACTCCTGTTTAATCAGGTTGGCTCCCAATTCTCGGAAAGGAAGCATTGCCAGCCTTTTCCAACCACTAGGTCAAGCACTCGCTTAATCTTTAGTGGTTCTCCTGGTCTTTCAAAAGTGAATACGTTCTGTGCCGACTCACTAGGAGACTCGCTCGGTAGCTGTTGTGTTTGAAATGCTTGAGATACTTAAGGAGGTGCGTTGACATTTTGACTGATGAAGCGTAATTTCGGCTTGGATTTGCAAGGCACAGGCACCTCCAAGGTGAATATTAGAGCTAGCATGTCCGTATCTAGCTGATTACACGTGCGTTTCGACATTCCAGGAATAAGTCTCAGAGTTATTGCTTCCTCCAGTGGCTCAAGTAGATCCTGATGCCTGGGGCAGTGTTACCAGAAAGTACTTCCACCAATGTTTTAAGCCCAAGATGGAAACGGCATAGCATGCCTATGGCTGTGTCTAAGCGAACTCTGCCAATTACCCTACTTCACAAACCCAATCAGACACCTTCTCACAGACGATACACTTGATACTCTCGTGAGCCTATGGCCACGCCCCGTTGTGCTCTCCATTCTATAATGTTATATTAATGTCCTTTTCTTTAAATGCTTCCTTCACATTTTCCTTCTTGTTTGGCTTTGCGACAATCCATCCCTTCTCTTTGTTTGGGAAGAAACCAAAATCTGAACCCAGAGTACTCCGCATGCCCTACTATCTCATTTCCATAGTATAACCTGTCCCACCACTCAGTATCATTGGGGAAACAGCTCTGCTTTGCCGTGGACGGCACCTGTAGACACGTGATCATAGGCTGGGTGCTTAGAACAAAAAGAGCCACAGCGATCGGGTCTCCCCGCGTAGTCCCTTCTGCCCATTGACAGGATCTCTTTACCACCATTAATAAGTTAATAATTGTCTTCACGTCTTAGCCACTAACGTACCTGTAACGTTTAATTCTGTTTTCTTTTCTGTGTTTTTTTAATCGATCCTTTGAGCATCACCACGAGTATATAAAAGCTGAGTCAGCATCCCTTTCAAGTAATTTTCCCTTTGATTTCGAGTGGCCTTGACAACCGGGACCTCTTAATGTTTTTTGACCCTTCACCGTTGGCTCAAGCGAGACCGATATGTAAGTACCTTTGTAAGTTTGTTTTTAGGTCTTTTTCTACAGTTATGGGCAAACATTACAAAGGAACATATCTCTTTCATGTTCTACATGAGGCCCTAAAACACACCCGCTAACAGACTCGTTTGTTTAAGATGCGATTTTTTCTCTTCGTGTTTCATATCAATGCCTTAAATAGATTATAAAGCTGCCTAAAAATGCATGTAACGGGTAAGTTTATGTTCGGTCACGTAGTGTAGTCTTCATAATGTGCCAGAAAACATTGATTGAAGGCGAGGATAGAGTTTGATTACCGATAAAGGAAAAGAGTGGGAAATTTTAAAATACTGACACAAAATGTCTCAGTTGTTCCATTTAAAATTATACGAAGCGTGTTTAATCCAGCAGGTGCAAAGAGCGCTACGTTCAGGTTTATACTGCTAGGTATAGTCATGACCTAAAATCAAAATTATGTGCAAAATAATCTAGTTTTTTTTAAGAGTTGATTAGAAGAGAACCGGTATGTTAGTCTCCTGATCAGGCTTTATGAAGCATAATTTGCATGCCTTATAGTCACTAATCAGATCTAGTGGTCCGATATCCACTACTTAGGGCTTGTCCGGTGTTAAAGACAGAGACTGGGCCTTGCTGGCATTGCCACTATGACTCTGCCTAGTTGTGAAAATAATATTTGAGCTTCTGCTAGCAGAGGTACTTGAGGCTCGTCCGGAGCGCCTGGGATGGATTGTCGTAAGGAGATCATCTTCTGCAGCAAAAAGCCGTCCATATTGGTGGATACGGTCAATGCCAACGACCGACGCCAAAAATTACTTCTCGATCGGTGAATACTTTCTCTCCACCACCGAGAGCTCCCCACTTCTATATGTCACTGGTTGACCATGCTGCATAAGTAAAAAGCCAAACCCATCCTCGGACGCATCTTCTTGGC